GAAATACTAGTCAATAGATTGTGATCTGACCTGATTTTATTGAGAGAATGAGTTACAAATTTAGTTTTTTTTTTTTTTTTTTTAAAAAGAAGTCTTTAATTACGGCTTTTTTTGACATTGTTAGATCACAATTTAATATTATTTTCAGTTCTTAATATAAAAGTTAGATAATTAATTTGAGAATATTAAATAACTTAAGTTAATTATTTGTCACATTTAGAAATTATCCTTCTTGGTGAAAAAATTTCTTACAATTAATGTGTATATTTTGAAAAATATGAAAGACAAAGTTGACTCAGATTTTGTATTAAGAATAAAATTTACTCCCAACTAGCTTTATATCGAGTGAGGGAGTAGTTAATAACTTTGAATTGATAATTTAAGAGGAACAAAGCCAGCATCTAGTGCGTATGAGAAGGATAAAGCATAAAAAGAAGTATCCAGTGCAACGCAATAACTTCTAGCATGTTTGAACATCAGGATGTGCGCGTATTGATGATGATAATGCAAACATGGGCGGCGCCACAATGCAAACTTAAGCGATACCGGCGAAAAGGTTCTTGGGCGCGAAAAAGCACGTGGTGGCCACAATGTCCGAACTAGGAGATTTGACAATATTTTGCATATTTTAAAAAATCAAATTAAATGAGTTTTACAAGCAGGGCCAGATATACGGGGATTCTTCTTTATAAAAACAATAATAAAATAATCTCCACCCAGGATCATGTCTCGAACTACAAGTGAAATTTAACCTTGAATGAAGCTTAAGGCCTTGATCCAAGATACCCAACTATGGAACGTACCGGATTAGAATTGCCTGAAAATCGGAAGGTATGGAAGCTTAAGGTCTGTTCTGCTAAGAGTATATACTGAAAGGGCATGAGAAAACGTATGGGTGCATGATGTTTATTACGTTGTAAAGTGCAATCTCCTGTGCAGAATATGATGCAGCTTAGTTACTCGGGGTTCAGTTTTGGAAATTCTGAAGACTGAAGGCATTCCTTTATAATCTCCTTGATCCTTCTTTTCATTAGTTTATCTTTCACGCCAGCAAGCATGTTTTTGTAGAACATTTCCAACCTAATTAGCTTACTGCGATCTGCTTCCTCTAACATGCTCTCCCATTCCTTTGCAATGTCGAATACACCTGAGTTCTTCAATGACGCTGGGATATCACGCTCATCAAAAGGTTTTCCAAATATTGAACCATGAAGTATACTGGCATATCTCTCCATCACAGAAAGCCTTGTCTGAAGCAGCTTCAGTTCATTCAATGCTGAGGCTAATTTTTCATCCATTTCTGTGACCGCTTCAGCCTCTTTTTCTGTCATCTTATCTTGGTCTCCAGTACTCTTCTGGTCCTCTTGCTTGAAATCCTCTATCAGCGGAGGCCATAACACTAGTGTGGGAGTGTAAAAATCCACTGCCTTACCATTTCCGAGAACCCCACTCCTTCCCCTACCCCAAGACCAAATCTTATATCCCTCCTGTGCAACAACAACAGTATGCGCCGCCCCACAAGCAACTTGTATTGGTTCTGGAAACCGAGGCTGATGTGGTGTACATGAGATAAGAAGGGGAGAGAGTGCATCCCCAGAATCAGTTCCAGCAAAACTAGCATCAGGGCACAGACCAAGACCCTTCTCCATGCCCCATGACCACACATCCCCAGCTGATGAAATAACACTAGTATGAAACAAGCCACAGTCAACAGAAATTAGATGAACATGCTGTGGCAATTCTTTGACAGGCATTGGAAGCAGTTCGCTTTGCGTGGTTCCATGCCCAAGTTGCCCATTATCCCCAAGGCCAAACGTCCAGCACATGCTTGCTGATGTGTCACTGGGGCTTTTTTTGTGAGTGAGTAAAGCAGTGTGAAAGGCACCACAAGCTACCTCATAAATTGCCCAGGGGGACTCCTGGTCAAATGCTTTTACAACTTCTGGATGTGGCCTGCTCTCCCTATCTCCCAAGCCTAATTGACCATGGCTGTTATTACCCCAAGAGTAGCACACGAGGTCTTCACCTACGTACGATTCTCCTGCAGTAACTAGTGCCACAACATGCTCATTTCCACATGCAACCTTGACAACAGTATGGCCGTGAAAATCCCATACTGGTGTGGGAACGAAACTGCTCACAAGAGAGAACCCTCCTTCGTTGCTTTTCTGTGGGCAATTTCCCCACATCCATAGGGCCCCTAGGTTATCAATAGCCAGAGACATCATTCCCCCTGCTTTGACAGAACATATCTGAAAAAATAGGACGCACAAAAGCAACTTAATGGCTATCTCACATTTGGCTGTTTGTATATCAGCGAACAGAATGTATGCAGTTACGAAATACCTTTAGTGATGCCTTACTCTCTTCTTCTGGTGGATCTGTTGAAGAATCAGGAGGGTGCAACTCAAGGAACTTGTTTAATAGGCAGGGAATTAGAGACTTATCTCCGCTAGAGCCATAGGAGTCCTCTTCGTTGAGACCGAGTTGACCATCCATACAGTAGTCAAGGACATAGTTGAATAATACAAACCAACAAATATACAGAACAATAGAAGTAGAAACTAGTAATTTTTTGTATCCGACTTTCCCGAGGCAATACAATTATGTCAAGGATACAGATATTGTAACCCCAGCACCAGACTGATCCATCATCTGTCAACACACACAGCAGCAGAAATTAAACTGGAGGAATGTCCTTCAAATTCCAGTTTCATGAAGCAGCCTTAAGTTTGCCTTAGAGACATACTCAGTGTTATTATCAGACTGCAGTCTACTAGATATTGCATGTGTTTCATATCTCTTTTTTCCCCATCTCTATTCTGACATATAGAAGCGTGACATATACAAAATAAATTTACAAAATATTTACCCTAAAGGGGACCAATAAAGAATCTCTTGCAAGCAGGTAACAATTAAACATACATTGCACCGAAAGGCCGAATGTCGAGAAATTTTGGCCAACAATCCAACATGGTGAACTGTCATGCTTAAAAGTGAGCGTGCATGTATATTCAGAGGATCCTATATTCCGAGGATTTTACTTAGTATCATGCAGCAAAAGATGACGAACTTAGAAAATCGACCAAAACTTGGGAAGGGGCTGATGGGGCAGATGAAATACGGGCGATGGAAAATAAACCAACTGAAAATTCGGTTAGTAAACCACATCACACTTGTTGGTTTCCGGGAAAGATGAAGGACATTTGAAACTGAAATACATCTTTTTTTCCCCCAAAAAAAAAAAAATTTGCTTACGGACTTCTTCCCATCTGGGATAATCATATTTGAAACAGGTTTGGCTCTAAACGTGGGAACCTCTTCCATCTTTCATCCACCTATAAACTCCTAGAAATAATAACCAAAATCTTCCCCTCTCCACTTATCTTCTTTTCCAACCTCGCATTTTTCTCGTTTTCCCACCACATCGAGTTCAACACCAACAAAATAATAAGCCACAGGAGAGGAGGAATAAAGAACAAATTCAAAGGTTAAAATTCTTACAACCTGCAAGAGCAAGACTATGATAGGCACCAGCGGCAATTCCCACAATTTTGATAGTGTCTCCTGATGAACTGGGGTTCTCAAACTTGACCTGAACAGGAAAAAACTCGTCCTCTTCTGAGCCTCGGCCAAGTCGCCCCAGTATTCCTCTTCCCCAAGAATATACACACCCATCCCCTACAGTCAGAAACATAAAAGTTCCCCAACATTCGTCAATGCAAGATGTCTCTAAAAGAAGTGTTAAAAATTACAGAATTAAAGATACGATTCCCTCCCGTAGCCATCATAATGGCAAAGCAAGAAACTTTCCAGTGGCGCCCAACTCAATGATCACAAAAGCTGGTTGGGCACCCCTAGATAAACATGGGCCGCCATTTTTATTTCAGCAAGAGATTCTGATTCTCCGGAACATATCTCACAGGACAATAAGGATCCGCCATATAATTGATAGCCCAAAACACTGTTTCGAAAAATTTGACAAGTCTTACCGGTTGAAGCAAGAGTATGTGCTTCGCCGGCAGCGACGGCGACTACTTTGCTAGATAAATTGCCGGAGTTAGGAAAATTCGCAGCGTCCTTCATTATCTCCTGCTACTCAATACTTATGTAGCAATGCCTGGCTTATGTTTGTGAATGCATAGAAGCTCTTTATATATTGAGCTTACAACAGCCGTCAAGTTGTAATGGCAGGCATAGCGGAGGAAAGAGACAAGATCGAGTTCATAAGAAAATAGACTTTATCCTTTTCCCCATCCCTATATAATAATATATATTCCTTCAGTTCCGCACCAAATAAAAATTTAAAAATAAAAAATCTACCCCTTAAATTTGATTGTTTGATTGTTGACTACATACGTGTTTAACTTTCTCGATTAGCGAATTAGGCAAGCCAATTGCTTCTTAAGCAGTGATTTGTATCCTTTCATTATCATATTACGATAAGCAAATCGCTTCTCTTTATTCAAGTTAGGGTAGTACCAAACCAAAATAACAATGATCGTCTATGCTGGGTTCAAAGAGAAGAGCGTCACGTATCTGTCTTTTGGTAATTTATACTTGTCGGCCTCCATCCTTATCCTTCTAACCCAAAGATTAAATGAAAATAAAAAAAGATGGGGGGAGGATTGTCTCATCCCCGGGTCTTATTCAAAAAAATTGATAGATTATAGTTGATGAAAACTTTATTTCTCGTGAGGCTTGATCGTCAAATACGACATTGGAAATTCGGGAATTGGTCGTCGGAAGTCGGATTACTCAAGCATTTTAGGTTATATGCGGTGTTGAGTGGGGATTTAAGATAGTTCGCTAGAATTATGAAGACGGGAATATGATTCGGATAAGGCATCGGATTAAAAATATATTCCTCCCACGGGTTCGTTACGTCGTGTGCTTACCATCGTACATCGTGCTTTCAACCGAAGCATTCTAGTCTGCATCAATCGAAAATAAGCTTGCAACCAAAATCCGTGGATCAAAATAACTAATTGCAAATCAACTAGAAACAATTTCTCGTCTTTCTTACAGTTTACATTGATCATGAATTTAAGAATGAGTTATCCTACAAATCTGCATTTTCACCATCTAACACAGGCATGAACAAAGCAATATACAGAATTAACCAGTGCAGGGACCTCCACTGGTCTCGGCCATATTGTTCTGACTAATGTAAGCAGAGAGATTTAGATACTGATCTTGATCATTCATGCCCCTCCATCTTGCCCTGCAAATCACACAACTAGCCGTTCTCCTTCCCCTGCTTCTCTTCCACTTCACCAAACACTCCTCATGAATTGGATTCCGACACGTTCCACAGGCGACGACCTTGTCATCCTTCCCCATTTCCTCCAGACAAATCGGACAAGTGGTCCCATCCTCCATCTCTATACTGGGTTCCTGTCTTCCACTGAAGAAAAGCTGGTGAAATCTCTCGCGAAGTGCGGCCCCGGCGAGGGAGTCCGGCGAGGTAGGGAGGTCGAGGAGGCGGCGGAGTTGGGAGGGGCGGATAGTTCGGCGGCGAAGGCAGAAGTGATCGAGGGGGAGGCCGAGAACCCGAATGAGGACGAAAAGAATGTGCTTGCAAGGGGTGGTGCGGTCGGGACAGGTGCAGGAGGGGAGGGAGGAGAGAGTGACGGTGTAGACATTGGCGGTGGCGCCCAATATGAAGAAGGAGGCATGGGAACGGTGGAGGAGGAGGAGAGGGTGGCGGAGAGCGCGGAGGATTCGATCGGAGAAGGGTTGGGAGGGGGAGAGGCGAGGATCGGGGGATACAGAATCCATGGACGATGAAGGCTGGAGAGAAGGTGAGAGATTAATGGTTATGTAAAAAGACAAGCGTTATGGATTCCTGGCGGAGAATTGAGGGGCACGTGAAGGATAGACGAAGAAGGAGGGAATCAATTCCGTAACCGAAACCGGTAACTTGCGCGCTTCTCACCTATTTGCATTTTGCAGCGCTTCTCACACTTGACACAAATCGCAATGCTCATTTTAGTACCCACCAATGATCCTTTGCCTTCAGTTGACTAGATTGGCCTTAAAGGTAATTATATTTTCTGTTGCTTTAGCAGGATTAAAACGTGAAAATGAGAGAATCCTGTGAATGGACGGGAAAATAAATAACAGTTCTTGCTCTTTTTTGGTAAATTCTGGTCCAATATATCCCTTCTCGATAAATTGCTTTAAATCTGCATCCAGTTGGTAAGCCTGAGAAGTCAGAGTCATATAAAGCTGCTTGACTTGATCAGAGACCTGGTCAAGTCTGTTCTTCTTGGCTCAGACGTATGAGGAACAGATGGGTCTTCATCAATAGGATCTTCAACTGTAGGGTCTGGTTGGACCATTGCTACTTTAGAGATATCAGCATGATATGCTTCAGAATCAGAACTGTATTCAATAGAGGAGTTAGACTCAGGTTCAGAGGTTTCATCTGCTGATGAGTGATCTTTATCCACAGATTGGAAAGTCTCACATAAATGGCCATTTCATTTGGGATCATGCACCAGAAGAATGTGATCCTGACTATGAGTGTGATACACCTTACTGGTGGGAAGCATCAGACGATGAAGATGAAGCTGGATGGTCTTACCCCATCAGATATGCCATAAAAAAGAAGAAAAAGGAGAAAAATACATCTCCTTGTTCCCACAAACGTCACCATCGCCACCATGATGATGATGATCATGGTCCGAAGCAGAAAGCTAGAAGCTGGAAGGCTCCTGTCTCTACTGTTCCTTCTAGCAGGTTATCTCTATATGATCTGCTTAAGGAAACAGGTCATGAAGACCTCCTGCCTAGACAAAAACCAGATCCAGTGATTCCTGCCATCCAACAATCCATCCCGTGTATAGCAATGATGGATCCCTATGAGCAGGATTTTCCTCCTCTTGAAAGAAGAATCAACAGAGAAACAAAGGTTACAGCAAGACCTTTCTCTGTCCCAACAGAAATCTCTCCCACTGGTGAAACTAGACCAGTCTCAGCAGCAGAAGAAGTTCTCAACTGGCAGACCCAGAATGCGATCGGCCAGAATAGAACTCTGACAAAGATTGATTCAAAGCTTGACCTGCTGACTCTTAGAACTGATACTCTGACGAGTAGACTTGACCAGGTCTCTGATCAAGTCAAGCAGCTTTATATGACTCTGACTTCTCAGGCTTACCAACTGGATGCAGATTTAAAGCAATTTATCGAGAAGGGATATATTGGACCAGAATTTACCAAAAAAGAGCAAGAACTGTCACAAATCCGAAAGGATTTGCAAAGAATCGAGTCAGATATCGCAAAGGATCATTCACAAACCATCTATGACCCTTATCCATCTTATCCGTCTGGTTTCCAACTTCCTACATACCCAACATCACCTCCTTCTTACCCTAGAGAATCTGATTATAGCAAGGTTTTCAAAATGTCTTATCCTATTTTAAGACAGTTGAGAAAATCACGACAACCCACTCTTTCACCTGTCCAGCCAAACCCTCCTCCCAGACCCCCAGTAAGACCACCTCACTTCCCTTCATCTGAAAGACTTTTCTACCCATCATCCTCATATACTAAACCTATTGAACCAACACCGTCCTCTCAAGGAGTTGTAATAAGAACTCCACCATCATCTCCACCAAAACAAACTCCTCCTCCAGACAGAGAAAAAAGAAAAGAAGTTGCAGATCCAAACAAAACCATAGCCACTTTCCAATCTGTGGATAAAGATCACTCATCAGCAGATGAAACCTCTGAACCTGAGTCTAACTCCTCTATTGAATACAGTTCTGATTCTGAAGCATATCATGCTGATATCTCTAAAGTAGCAATGGTCCAACCAGACCCTACAGTTGAAGATCCTATTGATGAAGACCCATCTGTTCCTCATACGTCTGAGCCAAGAAGAACAGATTACAGACCCACTACAGGTCCATGGTTCACTTTTGATGATCTCCCTCCAGAAAAATGGAGAGACAGACTCCATGAGTTCGGAGCATGGATTGACCTACAGCTTGCTAGACATGATGCAACTCTTGAGGAAGTTCTTACAGAATTTCTTTCAAGACTAACAGGAACGTTAAGAGAATGGTATCAAAGTCTCAGTGATTATCAGAAGATAGCAGCAGCCAGAGTTGATAATGCAGGAACTCTCCTAGGACTCATTCATAAGGAATTCATTGGTGACTTCCAGATCATTAACAAAAGGCATCGACAAGAATATTTTGAGATGAAGTGTTGTTCTTTGGACAAAAGAGACTTGCAGAAACATTTCCAGAGAATGTCTGAAAAATACTACATGCTTGGAGGAGCCAATGATGTCAATCTCAGGCATACTTTTATTGCCTCTCTTCCAGATGAACTACTACCAGAACTTCATAGAGCTATCAATGCACTCCATAGAAATATGGCTGACATTTCTATTGGAGAAATATATCAGTTGGCATTAGCAACTGTGGATAAGCTCTGTGAACAACAGAAGTTTTTCAAAGGAATGCTGAAAGGACAGTCAAAGCTTAGGCATGCTTGCAAGAAACCACATCTGAAAATAAAGTGCAAAGATGATAAAGATTGCTCTTGTTCTACCAAGAGAAAATCTCACTATCGTCGATTCAGATATCCAAAGGGTTCTTACTCCAGGAGAAGATCCAGAAAGCCTTTCCTGAGATACTTCAGGAGGCACAGACCTTACTCAAAGAAATCTGACAGGTGCTACATATGCAAGAAAAAGGGGCATTTTGCAAAAAATTGTCCTAACAAGACAAAAAAGGATGTCAAAATGCTAGAACACTTGCAGACTGTTCTCATGATCAATGAAGATGAAGATGTAGAATCTGTGATCGAAGAACAAGATGCTCAGGATGAAGAGACACAATATATTCTTCCTTACTCTGAAGATGAGGAAACTGATTCTGAATCCTTTTCTCAAGAAGATGATAGTCCTCAAGGGTATTTATATTCCCTTGAACAGCCTGTGCATCCGTCTCCTTTCCTTGGTTCCGTAGCTTCTCAGCCAGAACACAACAAAATCACTCCTAAGCCAAATGTCAAGATTCATATTCTTCCAGGAAGATATGAAAAGCCAATTCCTGTTATTGCCTTTATTGATACTGGAGCATGCAGAACCATCATGAATCCTGATATTCTTCCCCCTGAAGCATGGATCCCTTGTGATCAATTTTTCCTTACTGCTGATTCAAAGCCCTTCAAGATTGAATGGATAACTCGCAGGAAGATTGGTATTCAATTCTTTCCAGGATGTGTTCTATGGATGAAAGTTCTTGGTAGTGATCTCCCGGGGAAAGATATTCTTATTGGATTTGATGCTTATAATCATACTAGGAATCTTCAAGTCTTGCCTAAAGGGATTAGATATAAAAGTTTCTTTAGTGCATATACTGAAGTTCCTAATCTCTTTGAGATCCAACAGGCACCACCAGGATATGAAGATATTCGAGATCATCTTCTCAAATTTTGTGCTGATAGTCATCAACAATTCTCTCATCCTTTTCCATTATGGAAAAATCAAGAGTTTTTTATAAAACTCCCCTTCAAGAAAAATGAAGACATCAATCCCACAAAGGCCTCTCATCCAGGAATGAATCCAGAAGATCTCAAGCTCGCTAAAGAAGAATGTGCTGCACTTCTCAAACAAGGCCTTATTGAACCAACAAAATCTAATTGGGCTTGTCAGGCATTCTATGTTGAAAAAAGGTCAGAAATCAAAAGAGGGAAGAAAAGGTTAGTCATTGACTATAAGCCTCTTAATATTTTCCTTCAAGATGACAAATTCCCTTTACCAAAGCCCAGTTCCCTTACAGTCCATCTTAGGGATGCAAAAATCTTTTCCAAGTTTGATCTTAAAGCAGGATTTTGGCAATTGGGTATCCACCCAGAAGATCGACCCAAAACTGCCTTCTGTATTCCAAACGCCCAGTACCAATGGACTGTCATGCCATTTGGGCTTAAGGTAGCCCCATCACTGTTCCAAAAGGCCATGACCAGAATCTTTGAACCTATGCTTGATAACCTCCTCATTTACATTGATGACCTTTTACTTTTCTCAAAAGATGAGGACTCCCATAAAATTTTATTGACCCAGTTTGGGGAAATAATTGAAAAATACGGGATTCTGTTGTCAGCAAAGAAAGGTGAAATAGGTGTCAACAGCATAGAGTTTCTTGGAATGCATTTTGAAAATGGTCAGTATTATCCCGGACCACACATTGCAGAAGAATTACTCAAATTCCCAGACGATAATCTCACAACAAAGCAAATCCAACAATTTCTGGGCATCATTAATTATCTTCGGGATTTCATCCCTCATGTGTCAAATCATACCAGCCAGCTGTCCAAACTTCTCAAAAAGAATCCTCTCGCGTGGGGGACAGAGCAGACCTCAACTGTCAAGACCCTCAAAAGAATTGCACAGCAACCACCTCCATTAAAGATCCCTGACAAAGGGTTACGAATTCTCCAGACTGATGCTAGTGATGACTTTTGGGGAGCTGTCCTAATTGAAGAGATAGATGGAAAGAGATTTTACTGTGGACATGCAAGCGGACAATTCAAGGAGTCAGAAAAGCATTATCATGCTACCTACAAGGAGATCCTTGCTGTCAAAAGAGGAATCGAGAAGTTCAGCTTCCATCTCAGTCCTTATCAATTCAGAGTAGAAATGGACAATACGTCTTTTCCAAGAATGCTTGATCCCAAGGGAAAGACCTTGCCAGACAGCCAGTTACTCCGATGGAAAGACTGGTTCTCTCGCTATAAATTCACCGTTCATCATCTCAAAGGACACCAGAACATCATAGCAGATTTCCTCACAAGACCTCAGAAAGTTTCCCAGCCTCCAAAACTCCTGTCACTCTCCAGACCTCAACCTCTTTTCATCCTAACCATCTCTGAACCAGAAATGCCTCACAGAATGAGAGCCACCATTTTCCCTCCTGGATCCCGTCCTGAATCTCCAGCAGATGTCCAAAACCTTGCCAGAAGTACTATGTTCTACTGGCTCCATCGTGTTTTTGTAGATACTGGAATCCACCCTTATCCTCAGCACTTTGATGCCGATGCTCCTTACCTCACTGTTCCCATCATCAAAGGACCCATACCAGAAGAACTTTTATGGTACATCTGGTCTGTTTCAGCCAATTATACCTGTGCCATAGCCTTCTCAGCTGTAGTCGTCCATGATCACCTGAATGACATCAGGAATGAAAATTCTCCTCTTACCACACTCTTTGAGATGATTGCTCCTCTTCCCTACTGGAGAGGAAAACTCTGGAAAATTCTCAAAGAACATAATATTTGGGACTTACCAACTCCCAAACAAAAAAGATTTTTCTGTCTGTATACCTTTTTCAGGAACTATGGAATAAGTGCTAACCAGAGGCTCTACACAGACAACCGTCTGATCCTCCAGGTCACCACCCCCTCATGGCCAAGAAGGGAAGCATTGCTAATGGAAAAAATTGGGAAGACATTAACTGCACTTAACCAGCCTGACACGGGAGAAGACACTTCATGTCTTTCTCTCGGACCTTTCCCTCCAAACTCACCACCTGCCAGCAACACAACACTTGAAGAATTCCAAAGAGATTTCATCATGAGTGCTGTCAGACCTCCACCAAATAGGTCATAAGTCCCTCCACCGACAGAAGCCTCTGAAAACCCTCATGAAGAAGACTCTCAGATCCAACTCACTCAGCCTGAAGGACTCTATCTCCCTCAGCCAAGTTTCTAGCCACAACTCCCATTCCTTGCAGGGGAATCCCAGGATCCTAACCAAGAAGACCCTGATCCAGAGCTCGAAGACTATTACTACTCAAGAAGCTCAAGGAGACACTATGACTCAGATGACCCTGACCCAGAAGGCATCATGAACCTATCCCCTAGCCATGAGCCTATCTATAAAGACTAGGGAACATCATCATCAGAAAATCTCCTTTTGGGATACTCTGAAGATAAAGCGGGACCCGCCAGAATCCTACTTTATGTCGCTATCTACTTTTACTTTATTAAAGTAGTTTGTCCTGTAGTCTATTTCGTCCTCTTGTAATAAGTGGAGTAGTTGCCATTATTAGGTGTCATTATGAGAGTAGTTGGTAGTTAGTAGTTGTGATTATTAAATGTCATGTCATAATGACGTCTACTATTACATCTACCCGTCATAATGAGGTGTACTATTAGGACTTTGTCATGAAGTGACCCCGAGCGTCTATATAAACCCTACTCTGCCATCAGTTACAGGCAGAAGGAGTTGTATTGACTTCCTTGTATAATACTAGTATGCTTTCCTCATGAGTTCTCTCTAAATTTCTCTCTTCTTCTGAAAGCCTCACTTATGATATCTTTCTTCTGTCTCCAGAGATTCTGAGTATGCTCTGCACTTGCCTCTTCAAGAGGATCCTGTGCATCAGAAAATAGAATCTGACCACGATCCATGAAGGAGTGATTGGTGACAATCTTTCCAGTTATCCTAGCTCTGGTATTCAAGGCTGAGAGTCCTAACGTGGCCCGTTGATGAATTGAGAATGAGTGGCCTTACCTGGACTAGAGCCTTGGATATCAGACTATGTTAGCTTGGTCCGATTCAGCTAACATCCCCGAGTGGTATCAGAGCCAGGTTTTTCGTGTGGGTTAAATATTTTTTGACACGCTGGATGGGGGTTCTCTGAGGGCGAAAGCGAACTTCCCCTTCATTTATCTCTTCAATATCCTTTTCCCGCAGAGAAGAGGAGCCAAGTGTGGCACTTCAAAAATTTCATCTTTCTCCATTGTACGGCCCTCCACTGGCTTTTGTAGACCAAACAGCCACTCGATGTTCCCTTCCTTCCAAAAAAATAGCCAACCGCGGGACCAGGTAATTTCCATCGCCCTCCTCTTCTTAAAGCTATTTCTTCAACATGCTTTTGCCCAACTCCATAGTTGCTGGTAGATGAATTAAAGGGCTTTGGGCTTACTTGGTTTAGCAATCTACTGAGCCGACGATTCCTAGTTTCTCACCTTTTCTACGTAATTGAAAGAAATCGAATTGGTGGCGGTCGTTGATACATATTTCTAAGAAGCTGGAAATTGCTCCTTTTTCTTCCATTAGGCTCTCCTTTTTGATGAAACGGAGACTCCCAGCATGAATTAATATATTTTCTACTGATATACACTCACTTTATTTTGCTCTGTTTAATGCATTACACTTCCCGATTATCTCTGTTCTGACGTTTCCGTGAACTCTCTGAAAAGAGGACTTCCGAAAATTTTGTATATCGACTCACTTTCTTGACACCATTGTAAAATTGAACATGTTTCTACTTTTATGATTTGATAAGATGTTGACTTTTGTTATGTGTTTTGTTTCGTTCTCAATATTTTCATTTGCCTGTCTGTGCACCCAGCAACAAAAGCAAGAAAGAGAGTGGTTAGGAGTAAGTTTCAAGCCAGAAAACTTCATTCCAGGTCTTGTCATCGGCTTCATTATTGGGTTGTTGTTTGATTTGTCAAAGCCCGGTAAAAATTACTCAACAAACAAAACCTTATCATCGGGCAAGATCCAACGGCAACTGTCAGTCGCAAGCAATGGTGATCAAGAGCTTAAAATGGTTTGTTACTTTGTTCTGTCACCGCTTTCTCATGTTGTGGGGTCTTTACATCGTTTTTTCCATTCCTTTCGTGCTTCTTTGGTAGATTAATTTTACCTCGTGTAAATAAGGCATTTTAGTTTGATGGTCATATGTACATAACTCAAGTTGTGTCTATGCCGTCAAAGCCATTGAGAAGACAAGGTTGTGAGATGAGCACAACTTTATGACGCATTAATACAGTACAAAATGCTTTAATCATTTTACATGGGGCAGCTTTCATTGAACTTTTAGGGATCAATTACATGCACTGAAGCAAACGATACAGCATAAAATCCATGGCTGTTATGAAATATGAAACATTTCCTAGTAATTGTGTTTCATTTATTTTTTGTTGCAGTTGATTGATCATTCAATTGCAAATGTAATAGAACCCCTATTTTTGTTTTGAAATTATGTTTGATGAGGTTAATTTGACCGTGAATGCATTAAATTTAATCTTATTGAAGCAAACTTCTTTTACCGGATTGCTGAGATATTTCTGGTTTCAACGTTTGAACTCTCTGCGCCAGGTTCTGGTAGTTAGACAAGACCTAAAGATGAAATCAGGAAAGATAGCATCCCAGTGTGCTCGTAAGATGCCTAACCATTCTTAAATTTGAGGATTTGCACTTCATCCTGATATTTCAAATTCAATCCTCTTTGTTATTATGTGCTGTATGAGCTTGATTATCCCCTCAGGCTTTGCCTTATCAGTTGATATCTTTTTTGTCTACATTTACTATTTTTACAGATGCTGCCACTGGAATGTATGCTGAACTAATGCACAGGTACTTTGAAGTGTATTTTTGAGCCTTGAGATTTCCCAGTTTTCATATGGAACTCGCCAACCCGATCAATCCACTGACCTGCAACCCTTACACACTTTTGCCTTTAATACTCTGGAAACCAAATGCTTTTGCTTGTTGAATTTGAAAATTGAAACAGTAACAGTTGCTGATCTGTGTGGCCACTGTATGATTATTAATGTTTTCTGAAAATTTGGTGTCTTGGTTGGTGATATTTCACTTTTTGTTATTCTTCGGGGAGCAAGGGGGAAGGAGGAAGGCAAGGGGAAAGTTCTTGTTGATATTTATAATGTCATAAGTTGGGCAGGTAGGTGGGGGGATTTGTGTGTGCATTCATTTATCAAACTTGTTATCTCAAACATGGAGATGTTGATCATTCAGCAAGGATTGTTATATCATACTCAAGAACATAGACATCACAATTTATTTTTTGAAGTGAATTTCATTTCAGGGTTCATATAAGCTGTTATATTCGCTTCTTTCACTTTTGCTGATGTGGTAAGCTCCACCATTGACTTCTTTTGCAGCCATCGATCCCTTTTGAGACAATGGGAGCAGTGTGGCCAACCCAAAATTGTTGTGACTTGCAGGAATCAACAAGAAATGTAAGCAGTCTTTTTATTGTCAATACTGTATTGTCGGTTTCCAGTCTAGTACATGGATTTATCCCCTCACTTTCCCTACAAAACAGGAATAAGCTGAAGGAAGCAGCTGAGAGTATTGGCCTTCCTACTTTTGTTGTTGCTGATGCTGGACGAACGCAGGTAACACTTTGCACTTTGGCATGATACCGGAATTTCTATTACGACAAAAACTACCTTGTTTGCAGATAGTAAGGAGTGAAACACCTCGTGAAATTTCATATAGTTTGTATTCTTAGGAAATGAAGGCGTTGTAGTTCAAGAATGAAGTTTCTGCTCTTTGCAGCCTTTGGTGCAAAAGCATAGAACGGTTGCAATGAATTGAGGCTTTGATGGGATACAAGGGCTAACTCGCAAATGCTTGATTTTTGTTTCTTGGTTTATTTCCTCAGTTACTCTCACGTCATTTGGAATGTACTTAAAATCTGAGATTTTTGAGGATCAGATGATTGTTGTGTAGCATGAGAGAACCACCATGTCTGTCTTCTACGTAATAAATAATGAGACACCAAAATCTGACGCGCATAGCACAAAAATTATTGTTTTATACATGCTGCTATGAATCAACGAGTTATTCACGTCAACTAAACTTCACATGTAACATGGGAGAGTAAGTTATCCTAGAATTTAGTTTTGCCTGGATGAGTTTGGATACTTTGTGATTGTTCTCTGCGAGTTCCAGGTTAAGGTCTGTTCTCCTGATGATTTTTGCTATTTCAGGTTATGGCAGGATCGAAGACCGTTCTTGCAGTTGGACCTGGTAAGCTTGTAATTTGATGCTTTTGTTTTGTTTTCAGAGAGAAACTGAATATGGGGTGTATTGGATCTGATACATGTGATTGTGAAATTGGAAAAGGTCCAAAAGCATATGTGGATTCGGTGACTGGGAAGTTGGCCCTACTTTGACAACTTATGAGTTAATAATCACTTCAGCCTTCAAATTCATACTGCTCTGAGACCTTTCAAGCCATTTGCTGGTTAAGGTGGTTCGCTTCGCTGTCCCAAGGATTCAATTTTTCTTTCTGGTTCACTGTCTAACACAGAACAAACGCTCACCCAACTCTCTCTCTAGGATTTGATTATTTGTATGCCAATTTCTTTGAACTCTATTCACTTTTGTTTTTGTAGTTGTGTCAGTGGCCAAACTTATTAACTCCACACGCTGTTGGTGGACATTTTATTAATGACGCGCAGCAACAATGTCTTCTTTGGTCCCTCCTTTACTGCCATTTTCAGATGCTCGCCTCAAAAGAAAATGAGAAGATTAGTCCATTAAGGGGGGAAGAAAGGAAAGAAACATTATTATTAATTAATTAAAATTGTGGAACGCATCACTATTAATTATGAAACTTACATATAATTTTTTGTGACTTTACAATCGGGCTATTTAATATGGATATAATATTTAAAAAGTTTATAAAAACACTCAATCTTAAAGATCATTTTTAAAAATAAAAAAAAGCTGCTCATAAATTTATTAATATAGAAATATAAATATGCAGAAAAAAAAGTGTGAAGGATTTATTTATTTGAACAATGGAATAAAGGTGCGTGTGGATGAAAATTAAATTATAATTTTAAAAATAATTTTACAATATATAAAGTAAATATATAAAAGAATTTGTTTTGATTTATAAAAAATATTTTTAAAAAATATTTTTCTGAGAATATCTAAACATCCTCCTAAATAATAATCTCATGAGGTGGAAAACCTTCAAATGATCCGATTCTTATTACTTAAAAGTGAAAAATAATAATAAAAGCCTAAACCTTGGTAAAACCCTAGCTCCCTCTCTGGATTCTCTCCACACGGGCTCTCTCTGAAAAGGCTCTAATCCTCGGGGATTTTGGTGCTGGTGTTCAAATGGCCTCTCGTTGTAGATCTCTGTCGCAACCAGCATTCTCTCTCATACGATCTACGATTTCGAAACCATCAAGCAAGCCCAAGTCCTCAGCTTTTCTCAACCACACTCGTTCGTCTGCTACATTGCCGAGGCAAGAACATCTTCTTATTTCTGTGCTTTCCCATCATAAATTCCTTTTCGCCTTGTTGCCTTCCTTGCTGTGGTTTTAAAGAATTTCTGACTTCGAATTGCAGGGCGGTTCCTCATCTTGGTTGCGTGCAGTCCTTGCTTCCCCTCCACTCAGCAATCTCCTCAGCTCGCCTCACCTCTTGTCTTGGTATAGATTCAAGGAACTCCAGGTCGTTGACTCAGGGTATGCTCTGCAGTGCCAACCCCGGAGTTTGATATCTCGAATATTTTTTATTTGGTATTTGTAAGCAACTTTTACTCTATATAAGTGTTATACTTCTGTCTTTATTTTTAGTAAATTCTTTTATTTTCTCCTTCCTTGGTATTAAAAAGAGCTTATAGCAATTTAGAATTGTCTCGTGAGTTACTGTCTGTGGTCATTTCGCGTAGGAATTTTGTTATCGAATGTTCGTCATTCCTGTTACGTATAGGGATGCTTTAGATATTTGCGAACATTATCTAGTCATACATTTGCTTGCCACAAAAATTTTAGAGAAATAAAGATAAGGTGAAGAAAAAATAAAAACTTGAGCTAGTTGATACAAAGTCGACTACTTTAGTTGAAAAGTTTAAATCCCCCCCCCCCCTCTGTTCGAGGGGGTGAACCAGGAATTATACTTTAATCTTCTTATGTTTTTCCCATGTGTCAAAGTGTTTTCAAACTCACGCTGCCATCTTTTCAGCTGCGAAACGTTTTATCCATTTTAAGAGCTTTGTGTTTTCTGGTTGGCTATGATTGCATGTGGCCTCTTTCTGTTGATGATATAGGTTAAAAACGTTTTATCACTTCTTAGTAATCAAGATGCATATAATCAAAGTTGTTTGGTGGTTAATTCAAGAGTAGCATCTTGGGCTGCGTTATATAAAATCTGTGGAAATGGAGCTATTACTTGAATGACTCTTTGGTCATGTTTGTGGCATGAATTGTTTGTTATTTGTCAACGCTATAAATACTTTCAAACTTTAAATTCCTCTGCTTCTTCTTTGCCAAGATGTATTAGCTGTGTTCTTAACAACTAGGTCTTCTATATCCCTATTAAAAATACTACAAGAACTTAGGAATTGTATTGGAATGGATGCCTGGTGTGAAGATAATTTGTGGTATAACTATTATGTTGCATAGTTTTTAAAGTGTAAGAAAATCAAAGCATATTCTTACTTTTGTAGATTTAGTTATGTAGTTTTTTTTATCAAAACAGGAAAGTGCATCTACGTTGTCTTCTTTCTAATAGAAGGTTGCAGGTTTTGCTTACATTGTGGCCTGGCATCGGGAAGTATTGCATCACCCGTTCCTTTTTGCAATTTTTCCGCTTTAGAAATTGCAAGGACTTAAGAGTCAGAGTCCATGTCTATTAGGTCCCTAATATTTTATTTTATGTTCTTCAGTTGTTTTAGTAATTTAAAATGTCTTACAATGCAAATGGTCAAAAGTCCCAAGTGTCAATGTCATTTTTTGTGAGCCATGCATTGGCAGGCCGTGATTTTTGCATGATTAGCCATCTATGCAGTCTGGATCATTTGCAGGGATGGCGTTACAATAAATGTTTGCAACTGCAATTCGAATGAGAAACTGTGTTTTGTGACCAGTTTTATTAGCTTAATGCTTTGATGTTATGAGGGATACAACTTAATCTCGCATTTGCTTGCTATTTTTTAACTTTGGATTCATGATGATACATTTTATGGTAGTCATTCTTAAAATTGCAAGTCTTTATGTTTATGTTTGAAGAGATGCTACGAGTTTCACTTGAGAATCATGCTGGTTGATTGAGCGGAAACTATATCACTTGCCTTGTTTAGGTTATTCTATTGTACAAGGATATTTTGCTTGTGTAAACAGATGCTTAAATAGTGTTTTTACCCCCCTATTTTCCACAGAAATGGGCCTCAGCACACCTCGATAAGAGTTTTAGAAGACCAATGATTGATGAGCTATAGTCATCAGTCCCGCTGCTGGGATGCTTTTTGCAGTGAACTGTTTAATTTTTGTTGAACATTTCAGTACAACGGGTGCATAGTTGGAAGAATCCTTCCATATTCCTGTAACTATGGCCGTGGATCCCTGAAAATTCTTATTCAATCCAGGTTCAATTGTTTTTAAGAGATTGACTTCAGCTGATCAGTAACAAATAAAGAATGCGTTCATGCACTTGACCATTGTTTTAAGCACCCTGTTCGGGAATACCCTAGCGGCAAAATCAGCACATATCCTCTGTTTGTTTCCATCTCATGGATAAGTGAGTTGTATTTGTTTTCGGCTTGCGCTGGTAGGTTAGGCAAAGGTAATATTTTAGTCACTGTGCGAAGTATGGAGTAGATATCATTTGCATAGAAAATCTTTCTAGGGTTATATGTGGTGCACGTGGGGGGAAGGTGGATCCGGAAGAGAGTGGTGACCATGTCTCCGATTTTTTGTTCATGAACAGCCTTGATGGCAGACTTTGTGTCTCTCTCATCACAATACATCAGCATGTGGGACTCTGGATTAGATGCCGAGGGCCATGTGTTGGCGCTCTGTTTGACAGTAAGTACTGTGAGCTTTCATAAAAAAGGTGAAGTATGATCTAAAGTAACCCGGCCCTGGCATTGCAGTCGCTTTTTTCCCCCCCCCCCCCCCTTTTAACCATGAAAAGGTTTCAATGGAACTTTGTAAGTTTGTGTGCTTTAAATAACGGGCCTGTTTCATCGGGAGGGAGGTTTCCTTGTAGCCCTGGCTGTGAGAGGCAAATACAGACATTTCGCCAACGTGGGGCTGAAAGAAAAAAACAATTGCAACTTAGTGAATCAAGTTAAGCCTAATTATGATTACAAGTACTTATAAGCATATTATTTTGCGTAACTCTAGACATAACTCATCTTGTATTCTCTAATTCACGATTCAAAAATTGTTTGTTTATAGGATGCGTTTGTTCTTTTCTTGGAAGTGTTTTCACGCTTTGTAATAAAGATGGAAGCAGCGGCAGCTGGGCAACATTTTCTTTCCACATTGATGTTAAGCGCCGTATCCATCTGAAATTCCAAAGATAGTTTGATTTCTTTTGTTCCCCAAGTAAAAAGTAATGCCACAACACATGTTGCAATTCTTCAGCTTTGATTTGCATTGAAGCTTTAGGTTTGAGGGGTGCGTTATGTGCTCGCAGTCAAGAAAAATGGCGCAGGTAAATTATCTTATGTTTGACCTTCGTGTTATAACGCTTCAGAAGTCAACGTCAGCGATCACTAACCTTTTCCCTCTCGTTCTGTGATACTACCAGTCACCGCATCATGAAACCATGTAAGAGTTTTCATGTGACCACCGCAACCTTGGGTTACCGCCCTGCCCCTACTCTGTTTCTCCCTACTTCTAGCTATTTTATTTAATGCTCTAATTTCCACTTTATTCCATCACCTATCCTCTTTAGTTTTTATAATACTCGTGCATCCTTTAATTAACGGGGAGACGTGTTATCTTCAGCTAAAAGAAATCGAACAGAAGCGTCCGACTCAGTGACTTCACGTATAATTCTGTCATGATAATACAAATAACTTGGGAAGACAGACGCCACCTGCTGTGTATATTATTAAATTAATAGTCCTAAGGATCTGCGTTGCTGCCTCGGGCCATACTTGCAATATTGTATTACAGTACAGATGTTAAAATATATATTCGTTCTGTTTGAAATTTATCTCCATCTTCTTCTTATTTAAATTTAATTTAATGCCAGAAAATAAAAATCTCAATATTGACTCACATGCCTGGGGTGGTGGGAAACTGAAAGCTTTCAATTTTCCGCTGCAACCTCACATGTTCCGTTAAGTTCATTCGGGACGCTTCAATGATTCTTTCACGTGCTTTCAGATCAATTCTCAGTACTTAACGGAGAAAACATAAATATAAACCCCCACCCAAAAAGGAAAAAAAGAAAGAAACTCGATCACTCTGAAACAGTGAACCAGAAGCAACAGAAGAGTTCGTAAATTAATCAGTAGTATTTCTTTCGTAATCGTAAACGTGGACTAACGTATATGTACTCCGAAACAGTGAAGAAATTAATGAAAGAGAAGGATTAGAAAAAGGATATATAGCATATCACAGCCTCGGGGATACAGAAGTGAAGAGACAATTATGCATGATGCTTAAAATGTGTTTAAGGAGATTCACTTTTCCTTTTTCTACCAACATTCTCTGTTACCCTATTTCCCTAATTAACCCAGCCAGTCCCTACATGCCTACTCTAACTCATCCACATTTTGATTATTCCGTTTTGGGATCTATGCCTGAGAAAAAGAAACTCCACAGATATGGAGGCACAAAAGGGCGAGTTCAACAATTAAAAAAAAATGGCGTTTAATTGCCGTCCAAGTTAACCATTAATCATTAGATAACAAATCGCACGTCTTATTATCAGAGATTATGACGCCAATTAAATACAGGACGTTAAGCTGTTTATGTATTATGAGTAATCATGTATATTGTAACCTAAGAGATGAAGTGTGATGATTTTGGCCAAGGTTTTGGATAAGGTTCTTATATATTGTACAGATCGCCACTTGAACAAACGGCCGCGCTGGTGCCATGCAAATTAAAGGAGAAGAAAGAGAACAAATTTGAAACATTCATGATTCGTGTGAAAAATAAACTGAATTAGAAAATTTTGAATTTGGATGGAGGGTTATGCCAATTTTGGCCTAAATAACGACTCCAAGAGAAACATTAATTAGATGAAACCAGAGAAACTCAGAAAAAGAAAACGGAAAGAGGCCGGGTGTTGGGGAAAATAAATGAAAATCCCTATGAAAATTAGGAACGAAAGGGTCTAAAAAAATTGAAGATGTTTGCTAATTAATTCTCTCATAAGCTCTCTAGCTAGCAAACTACTAAATGAGCTGCCTGAAGTCAGGTCCGAGGTGTTGATGAATCAAGTAATCGTCCCCATTGGACACATGAAACTCAAACATCATATTCGGATGTTGCAGAAACTGATGATGCTGCTGCTGTTGCTGCATTTCCTTCTGGCGTCGGAGCTCCATTACCTTCCGGTGTGAGTTTGAATGCTTGGTCAGCACGAACGTTGGGCTCGCCGCCGGCCGGTATTCTGGCACCAGCCGCCCTGACTTGTACCTCACCCCGCACGCGTTGCAAAGCGTTTTGGGGCCCATGGGCCCGGTCCGCCATTGCGGCGTCTTATCTGTGGCACAATGCAGGCACTTGCGGCCCTCGCCGCCGCTGTCCTTCCTCCTTGGCGCGGCCTTCCCTGGTTTCTTTGCGGTGGAAAGGATGGCGTCGGGATCTGAGGAAGATGAGGTGGAGGATAGTGATGGCGATGGAGATGGGGACGGAGAAAGGAGAAAGAGGCGAGAGGTCCAGTTGCATGGAGAGCCACGTGAGCGCTTGCTGCGAGCTTTGGCCGGAACCGAGACTTCTGTGTTGAATATGGGGCTGTTGACGACGCTCCGGTTGGTTTCGGCCTGGAATTCCTGAGTGATTTCGGATGTTTCGACGTCGTTACGGGCTTTTATACCAGATATCAGCTGCAGTTTCTGCAGGTCCTCGCTTGAAAATGATTCATCCACCACCGTCGAAAGCCATTCCAGCTCTGCCATATCATCATACTGTGTCTCTCAAGATTAATCAAAACCCACCAACAAAGCATGTATTAGTTTCATATATAACTGTGTTCGCATATCTCCTTTTTCTAACCTTTTCATTTTGTGTCATCGGCATCACCATGTGCGTGAGCAATTCCAAGTTTCATTTTTTGTTTGGTGGCAAACGCAATCACAGCAAGAAGGAAGAAAAAAAATTAAGCAAAAATAACGAAACAAACCTCGACAGATCAAGGTCAACCTTCTAATGTAATAATCCTAGTTTTATTATATGCACACACGTATAGCCTTGGACATGTATTAGGAATTGAAACAAGCCGGAAATCATGATCAAGTGTATGGACGAAGTGAGAGAAGAACTGCAGTAGATTATACATATGGTGTGAATTGCATATACGCATCATTGTGTTTATGAAAAGGTGTGAGAGAAGCATATATATACCGGCACGGGGACGCAGAGATCGCCGGAAAAATGGGGGTCGTGGAAATTGCGGGTGTCAATATCGGAGACAACATTAGGTTGGCTAGCCGGGGAGGCATCAACGGCGGTGACGGTGGAAGAATTGGTTGAGTTGCCGGGAAGGGAAGGGAGGGAAGCGTCGTCGGGGAGGAGAGTTTCATCGTCGACGTTGGAGAAGTTAAGGAGGTCGTCGACAACAAAGGAGTCGGCGGAGGCCATGTTGTTGTCGGAGGTGGAGAGCTGAGGATTCTGCAAGAAGTCGGGAGCTTCCATGGGAGAGAGGAGAGGAGAGGAGAGGAGAGTAGTGAGGAAGTAGTGAGAGAAAGCAGAGAGGAAGTTGGGGACAATGTGTGACAAAGTAGTGGCTTTGAATGGAGAGAGAAATGGAGAAAGGGGGGTTTATTTGCGTTGGAAGGGGACAAGGGGACTCCTATTTTGGACCATCTTTCTTTCTCTCTCCCTCTCCACCATGTAAATCCATTTTCCAGCCTCCTCAATTTTTTAAAATCAAAACAAAAGCTTCCCTTTCGCTTTAATTCCAACATGGACACTTTCTTATTTCCCCGCCATCTGCTCTGCTACCCACAGTAAAATAACAAGCTACCCCAAAAAACTCTGATCATTTTTCTCAGTTTAATCCGAAAAAGAAACAGAGGAAAAATGTGGAACAAGTTCACTTTGGTTCCCGTTTTGCCTTTTGCCGCTGCTCTTTTAATTATCCTTACATTGCATTTTCCCTTGGCATTGCAGTTGGTATAAACAATGGTCCATGCATGGAGTTAGTTTTAATTCTCTCTGGTGGCATCAAAATCACTTTTTTTTTTAACCATAAAATCATTAAACCTCTGGACGAAAATAAATTGAGGCCCTTGTAACTGAAGTATATATACTATAGTAGTCCACTAATTCAGAATTGAACAGTTGATTACAAGTTGTCCGGTAAAAATTCAGAATCGCGTTTTGTTTTTAATATATCTCCAGAAAATTGGTTTATTGGAAATGGATAAAGAGAGTGGGAGTAAAATGAATGACATTATGATAGGAGAGTAAGTAGAAAACGATGAATTATTCTTTCCATTTATAATAAACCAGATCAAAAGTCAGTTTAAGGAAAAAAAGAGAGAGAGAAATATTCTCTAGTAACTCTTTCTTAGTCGTATAATTTGGTTAATATATCACTCAAGAGTATGTTATTGTGAGCCATAGCAATTGAGTTTTGATCTTTCAACTTTTCGGGTCAAATCCTCGCTCTCCTCATTAGTGAGATTAAAAATTTTCTTTAACCCTTCTTCATTTTTGCTTATATGGCAACAAATACCATATTGATGGAAGGATTCAATTGGCATTGCATGTGAAAATAAAAATAAAAATGTAGCAATCAACATTGCTAAAAGCGAGCTTCGAATTCGGGCTCCCCCAACCTTCTTTGTCGCCTATTTTTGGATGATCCCTGTCTTTCTACAACACATGGCCGTTAACCCATCTCACAACATCAGACGTGAAGTGTTAGTTTGGTTCAAAGAATTATAAAAAATGTAAGGTCAGAAAACTGGTTTAGCATGCCATTCAGAAATTGTAGAATAAAATTTATATTATATTTAAGAAATAAAAATAAACATGAAATGATTTTTTAACTCGTCAAGGATAAAATTTGAGAGTATAAATGTCCAAATATTTGATTTACAGAAGATACAGATGTTCATATATATCTTAATTTATAAAAGTTCAATTCTATAGCTAAAGTTAATTACTGTCATTTACTGCAGAAGTCCTTGGTGTTGAATTGAATGAATGGGCCTTGGTTTTGTTGTATCACCTGCAAGCCAAGATATCCTTGGGTATCCTCTTGGGCCTTCTTGCTGGGTTCTTTCTTCCACTACGGCTATCAAGTAGCCCAGGTTTGTCGTGGAAGCCCAAAAGAAACTCAGGTTGTCACCCAGCGATCATCATGTTAAAATAGAAGGAGAAAAATTTGAGTTCCCCCCGAAAACGAAAAGAAAAGAAAAGTACACTTGATCTTTCTTTTTTATGTTAATTTCAAGAGCATGCGATAAATCTTGGGGTCTCCAAAGGGGGTTGTAAGATGACATTTTAGCTGATCGGCATTATTTAGAATGTGGAATTTATCCTTTATAAGAGGACATTTATGTATTGACTGATTAGATTCTTGCAAGACGAGCGTCCGCATTCCGTGCTCATCAGGCTGATGAGCACGGAATGCGATCCCTGCAAGACGATGGACAGAAAAGAAAAGGACGTACGACACAGGCAGAACGTAGAGATCGAAGTAGAAGAGGAATACTGAGATCGAATGAGGAAGGAGCTGAATTAGCATTGCAGTTGAAAGTAGCTTGCCATTTGTCCAGCTTTACAGGTGTTCGAGCAGCTCTCTGGCTCGGAATGGGGAAGGAGAGTCTTAATCCTGGGAAATGGTTGAATCTCCTTGTTTCAGAGCCCTACTATTTGTTCCATTTCTTGACTTTCTTCTCGTATTTCGTAATTCGTAGCTCCGCAGCTCATGCCCTTGCTCCTCACCTCGCTCATCATCTACTTCGTTGCGTAACGCTCTTTCTCTCCGTGCTTGTCTTGCGTATTTTCTTTCCGTTCCTTGCTTTCCCTTTCTAATGCGCTTGCTTTTGCAGGAAATCCAGACGCTGTTAGTCTTTGCCCTTTTGGCCTTCATCAAGGTACTGCTTCTTCGCCCCACGTATTCGACTGGTTTCATCCTCTTCTGATTGAAAGCTAACCAAATCTGTTGTCTTCTCACTTTAATTTAAACCCCTCTATCACATATATTATACTCTTGATGCGTCTTAGATAGACCCAAAGATCATCAGTTGAGGATCATGATATCAGTCATTCGCAGTCTATATGGAGAAAATTGCACCGAATAGTTCACATATTATTTGCTTATGTTAGTGTTCCAAAGCTAAAAATTATTAGACATTCATTATGAAGGATCACTGTATTACTCTGACTCTGGTGTATGTAAGCAACTTGATAACTTCCACTGACTCTGACATACTTTGGCTGTGTCACTTTATAAAGGGTACCTAATTGACGAAATCTCGATTAATACACTCTAGCAACAACTAGTTTTACTGCCTATTTTTAGGAAAAAAGCATTTGGAACCACGAATCTTCAAACCTCTATCGGCTGTATATTTTTCTGGCATTGCTTTCATGATAGAATGTACCATCATTCTTGGTACTTGAACTTAAAAATTAATTCCGGTTTTGTTGCTGATTTTTGTTTGCAATTTGATTCCCTATGTACATGAAGAGGCTATTCATTTTGTTGACATCCACGGCGGTAAACCATTACTCACTTCCCTCTTTGCATATTTGTATGGACGTTTCTTAATTCTAGCATTTCTCTGTCAGGGAGTGAAAGAAGAACCATGGGAGGCTTTCATTCCTGATGCACTTTTTCTTGCCAAGGTGATCAGTTTGACGCATTTATATTTTTTTCTCCTCAAAAAGTATATAATTGCTTCGGTCTCATTAAACGCCTATTAAAACATCCTGTGTTGGTTTTCTTTATTGTTACTGATTTGTTCTTAACTTCTTGTAATTGAACGCCTTCCTAGGACATGCAATCAATGAAATATTTCACGTGTTAAATTCCTTTCTCCATGCACATGACCTGTGATTCAGACGATAATTTCCTTTCTGTGTTTATGTTGCTCTTGTTAGCATTTCCCTGTCTTAACTGAACATTTTTCAGATTTGCCTTTTTGCCGTTGCCTATACAATGGATCGCTGCTTAGCTGTCTGGTATATTCTTGTGTTTTTAGGTGGGTGATTTTATCTTGTAATATGCTCTTTAACTGATCCACAGGTTTAGGCACGGGAGGATTGCTGGGTGGTGATTTTCTTTGGATAATGTTTCTCTTCTTTTTTTTTGAAACACTAGTCGGTCTTAATTTGGAACCTTTTTTTAAAAAAAAAAACAAAAGATATTTATCAGATATTTTCTTTACTTTTATTATATCCAGATATTCATTTAATCTTGGGAAACTAATTATCTTTTCATTACATTATGCTAATAAGTCCAGGTAATACATTGCATATTTTGTGGATGTCAATCACATTAAAAACAAATTTATCGTGCTAAAATAACATTCATGTTTATATTATTGCTCTGTGATACAGTGTTGCATATGCTTACCCAGCAACCACCATTTGAAGAATCAGGTAGAATTGCTTGTTTTTGTTTCGATTGCTTTTATGTATGAGTAATGATTCTTCTAGCTTTTTATGGTTGATATTTGAGAATGCGAGTGCTACAAGAATTGTAAGAATACATTGCTTTAGAATCTGATCAACTGATAGATTCTGTTTCTGTTGAATTTATTCTTCAAGGTACTTCAAACAAGTTAACACCATTGCAACTGGAGAGCTTGCTGACAGAAGGGAAAACTTCAAGATTTTGGCTGGTAAATTGAACAGAAGTTCTTTCCGAATCTTTTATACTTGTTATTCAGATATCTGAATATGTTGGGTTTTGGCCTTTGGGTGTGAAACCGACGAGTTAGTAGTAAATAAACCAGAAGATGAAAAGAAATTACCTGTTCCTCGTGTTGTGATGGCGAGACCATTTTAAAACTTGTTCCTCATACTCGTGTTACAGAAGAGCCTGAGACTTGGTTGCTATGCCCTTCTAGTTTGTTTGGTGGATGCATTTGCAAATATATCAGCACCTAACATTCTTTTACTATTGAGACTTCTTTTTACTTGGTTGTGTGAGTTTGCAGGTGGAGTTCCGTGCCTCATATTCATCTGCTTGCATTCGGTCAAGCCGATGCTTTTCTGAGCTCTCAATCACGTAAGTTTCTTCTTTCTTTTCATATTGAAGCTCCTTTCTGTTTTCTTACTCACCACACAAATTCAAGTATTTGCACTCTCTCTGGTTATTTTTGCGAGTACTTGTCCTCAGTTTCAAACTTCAAATTTGTCAGTTGGCTTCCAAGTGCTGATGGTCTGCACTAAAATGCAATTCAATCTTTCTTGTTCTTCTATTTTGCTTGAATACGTCTAAATCAACATCAAAATAGCAAGGAAATGAGAGTGAAAAATCTGCTCTTTTGTGCATGGAACTAGTGTTGGAGGTATACTGATGCGGCCAAGATCTTACAACTATTTCTGGTTCATATTGCTGCATGGCAGATATTCAAACAAAAATTTGTCTTTTGGAATCGTTGATCTCGGACTCTTCCCTAATGCTGCAGAAAAGTTTGGAATCTCTCTAAGCGGTATGTTACATGAGACTACAGCCTTGTCAAATTGGTTTTGTGACTTTTATTTCTATTTTTTTAGTTCTTTTTGTTATCACACTCTTTTTACAGTTGATGTGATGACTCGTCTCTCTCAGGAAGCATGAGCCAGCTTCCGACGTTTATCTTATTTGACAATGCCACTGAGGTCACCCGTTACCCAGAGTTGGACTTCGAAGGAAAGTACTTTCAACCTACCATTACGAAGGTACGATATAACGTAGAAGTAGGGCTGTTTCGCAATCAGATGAATGTCTTGAAATAAGGGTTGCATGTTTATACTCTTATAATTTCATGCATCTTTCCACTAATCAAGTATCTTAAGTTATAATCATGGATTTTTTGGATTTCAGGGACTTCTTGCTCGGCATTTCGAGCTTGATCGGCACCTGCTTGACTATGTGAATGGAAAATAGCCATAGGCCATTGCTAGGATGTTTGTCACACTCTAAGATTTTCGGTTATAAATCTCTATGATCTTCCTGTTTTGTAATTTCGGTAGCATACAAAAATGCATTATAAGCCCACTAAGAGCAAGCCTGAATTAGCGAGTTCCTGGGAAGCCACGCCATAGCCACGCCGCGCCAGCATGTGGGAGGGTGTTTCTTCATGGGGTCCAACTTCATTCAAATACCCTGAACAGTATTCCAACTTCATTCTTCATGGAGGTGCCCAAAGTTCAGAGAAACCCATAGTTTGTTCCCATTATGCCCTAGTCCCCGACTGGTTTCAAATTCAGTGCCTCCTAGAGCGTGACGTTCATCGTGGTTCAGTGTTGGAAGACCAACCCAAATTGAGAGGCTGTGTCTTCCGCCACGCTTGCTTCTTTGATCGGCAGCCAATATTTGCTGATGGGTTCTGTTTAATTTAGATTTAGGGGATGTTTGGGTTATTTCAGAAGTGATTTTACAGTTACGAAACAAACATGTGAAAGAATTTATCTTGATTTACAGAAACAAAAATACTTCTGGGTGTTTCCAAACATCCCTTTATATTGCAGAAATTGATTCTGCTGTGTTGAGTTTGTTGATGTTTCTGCTGTGTTGAGTTTGTTGATGTTGGGTGCCTGTATCTCATTGAAAATATGGTATGATGTCCGAAGGGAGTGGGCGGCCGGAATCATGGGTCGCGGAGGCCAAACCGGGCACGAGACATGAGGCGAGGCTTCCCAGAAGATGTTTGGGAATTTTTGTTTTCAATTTTCGAGGGCGGTAGCAGGTGTGAAGCTCAAGTTCTGATGCGGGGCCCACCATTAGAAAACGACACGGCCACGTCATAGCCGCATGATGATTGATGGGCTGTCCTGCTGCTTTGCTCCCGAATATTCTTTTCTAGGATCTCGTTACTTCAATATTCTAAATGCCAACCTTACTTTACTTTTTCGGCTCCTTTTGACATTTAGTAAATTTTATTTTAATGTAAATCAGATGCATAAAATTGGTGAGCAGAATGTCTCGAGATAAAAGTGGGGAGACTTTCGAACCCAAACATCCTCCATATTTTACATAAGAATAGAATATAATTGACATGAAAATATCACATGTTTTGTTTTTTACGCATAGAGAAAGAAGAAGAGATGAAGCCAGTATTTACGGAAATCAAACTAAATTTGAATATAACTTTTTGCCAAAAAACTTGAATATAACATATCATATAAAGTTAAAGAGATAATGAGTTGTATATAAACTGATTAGGATGTCTTGGCCCGCCCTGAGGGGGAAATTATAGAGTAACTGAGTAAGATATATTTGTTCAGGGAAAAATTAAAAAAAAAAAAACCAAAGATGAGGAAAATAAATATGCGGAGGAAGGAAGGCGGAGAAGAGAGACGGCGCGTGGGGAGGCGATGCGAGTGGGAGCAAGTGATTGAAAATGGGGGGAGGAGACACAGAATGACATGCTCTGTCTGATGTGATATGAAATGTCTTCCTCGTTCACCGTGATTGCCTCCTTATGTTCTTACTCCATCCCTCTCACTCCCCCTACGGCTTATTATTATTATTATTATTATTATTCATTTTTAATTTTTTTATGTCTCTTATATTTTAAATATATATATAAGATATAAAAACTTTAAATTTTTTGCGGCGATAAAATTTTATTTTATTTACTTAGATTATAAACTCTGGCCTCATACTTTATCTTTTTAAGTTTAATCTTGTTTGTTATTAAAATGTTTTATAAACATATACTCCTCCGGTCCTTAATATAGGACCCAATTAAAAGGGTACGATGAGAGAAGCCAGTGAATTGACAATTAAAAGAATAATTTATTTTTAATCTAATTTTTAAAAAATATGATTAAATAAAAATTAGATTACACAATATAATTTGTGTTTAGATTGGTTTTTATAAAAATTAATTTGTAAAATAAAAATATTGTTTTAATTATCATTGAATAAATAAGTTTAGTTTTTAGAATGATCAAAATAAATATGATTTTTATTAAATAATTAAAATAATTAAAATTATGAACTTAGAAAATATAATAATTTTAAATTATTATAATGTGAAAAAATTATATTTAATAAATAAAATATATTTAAATTAAAAATAATAGTAATACGAAAATTTTTTAAGCAAATAATATTATATAGTTAATTGGATAATATGCTATGTATAATTTATGTAAGTAGTAAATAAAAAATAATATTAAAGATTAAAAATATTATTAAAAATTGTTTAAAATGATTTTTATTTAAGAGAATATTAAAAATTAAAAATTAAAAACTAATTGAGAAGTATAAGGGATATACAGAGAGAAGTATAAGAACAACGTAATCATAAAGATAAAAAATATCTTTTAACTCTAAAAAGTTATTTTTACATAAGTTATAAGTTTTAGGTGTTTTTATAATCACATTTGAAAAACAGAATTTTTGACTCAAATTAAATTAGCTAAAATTTATGATAAATAACTTTCAAATTTCAAATTTGTAAATAGACTTATCATGCCTGCAAACTATTTTTTTCCTCTCAAAACGGATTGTTGGACGAGGGTCGCCCCAAGCAAACCTTTTGCATTTTTATTATTGGCACCGTTGATCTAATCTTGCGCATTTCAATTTGACACGTGTTGAAACTCACTCTGTGTGAAGGGTTACTAGCCGCACCCCGCACGGAATCCACACTCGCAGAAGGTGGGGTCACGCGTGCAGTGTGCAGCCCCACCCTCCCATGTGCTCTCTGCCATATGGAAGCTTGTTCTATGCAACAGGTCATCCCCACACCCCCGCTTGGGCCCCACCTTAAAAAAAAAAATTCTCAAAAAACGATCGTGGGTGTTTTCAAAAAATTGAGGTTATCAGTGTAATGACTATTTTTTAAATCTGCGGAATAATTTTAAAAAACAAAATTGAAAAACAAGAAAGGAGGTGGGGGCGCCAGATCGTTGAGGTGACATGCAAATGCTGCCACCTTATCTTGCAAGTTATGCAATTTCAAATTGCTTTTTCATCAGTGGCCCTCTTTTGCTCTGTTTAATTAATTCTATTCTGTCGGTATCAAATATATAAAATAATCAACCTTTTCGTCCTGGACTCTTTCACCCAAAACCACATTATTGTTCATATCTTTCAAAAGTGCCATCTTTAGCTGCCTTTGTGTGCATTTTGATCACCCTCCCTTGTTTGATACGGCAATTAATTAAGATTCATAATCAATCATTTAGTGGACCAATCAATACCAATTCAAGTTGGGGTTGGGTGGATTGAGGAAAAAAAAACACTCCCATTGTTTTTTTTTTAAACAAGTGACTAATTAAGATAAAATCAATTGTTTCGTCTTATTACAAATATTCTGTTCGTTTTACAATGTAAGTTATTTTAACTAATTTATCAAAATTACAAAATGGTAGTTGATTCATTATATCAAATCAATTTTTTTTCCCAACGTTACTCATACTAAATGAGATTGTGAGGAAGGGAAGACAAATATAAAAAATTATATTTGAGCATTAATTTTAGAGATAAAATTAACAATCAATCATTAACTACTACTCCCCAAGTAACTTACATTTTGAATCGGTCATTATTCTAAAAACAACTTATATTATGCGCCCGATGGAATATAAGATCTACTAGGAAGTTTTGATTTAATCTTAAATGCAAAATCTATTTATATTATACTAATAATTTAATAAAATACATTAAATATGATGACCTATACATGCTAAATTTTATTACTTTAATGTAATTATCTGTTTATATTATACTAATAATTTTTTTATTAAAAAAAAAAAACCCCAGACCCTGGTTTGAGTCTAACTATCTAGAGATGCGGAGTGTTGAAGAATGGAGGTCCACTTGGAGTGGTTTGCCATTAATGCCGCATTTGAGCCGCTCACTTTTGGCCGGCCGTGACCCTTCTTCCATACTCTCTCGCTATCTCACTCTCTTTCCCTTTAATCCATGTTGGACAAGTTTGCCAAACAAGCAAAATCCACCATAACCCACATTATGTTCTTCCTCCATCCCCTTTTTTGAAAAAGCAAAATTGACCTTAACACATTCATTAATTTTTTATTTTTTTTTTGGACTCAACATTCATTAATTTAATTTGGCAGCAACCGGCGGAATTCTTAGGCACGTATATTAGTTACGATTAGAGAGATCCATTCATTTGCTTGCTTGCTTTGACTATTGACTCATGTTTCATTCCTTAATTCTCACTACATTCCAATGCCGTAATCTTCAGCGTGCCTTCCTTTGTATAAATTTAGACTTTTGATCTCTTTGCCAAATTCTAATAATATACTACATCTGACCTTAATTATAAGAGCTAGTTGACTAATTTGAGAAGATCAAGAAAATAAATTAAGTTCGTTATTTATAATAAATAGGTGTTATTTTTTTAAAACATCCTTACTAATCAAGTGTATTGGATAAACTATCATTATTAGAAAAACTATCTTAAAAAAATGTATAAATATAAGAGACAAAGTGGATTAGGATCTTATATTTAAAATTAAAATAAAAGTCAAACAAGATCTTATATTAAAGGCCTGAGGTAGTATTTGATTATAGGAACACAATATCCGGCTGACAAAAAGTTTCTTTTTTTTTTTTTTCTTCTTCCTTCAAATATATATATATATATATATATATATATATATATAAAACGTGTTAGGGAATGAAGAGAAATTTTCAATACAAATGGGCGCAGCGAGTCATACGAAATTCATTCCAGCCCGCATGCGAGCAACCCAATTATGCTGTCTTCTCTTTTCTTTCTCCCTCATACCCCCAAAAGAAAAACAATTAGTAAAAATGAGCTGGTTTTATAAAAACTGTGAAATGGACAATTCTTAACAGTGCGTGTCTCTATGACTTGAACCACACATGGCACAAACTCCTCGAAACGCACCCGAAGATGAAGTTTTGTTGATCAAATATAACGAATGCGTCACAAATTTGCATGATTTTGGATAATATATTAAACCCAGTCCCATTGCTTGTGTTGCACTTCAAATTCTCATCATATCCCCGCGTTGCATCTCTCTACTTTTTTTTTTTTTT